ATATGCGACACCCCCGCCAGCTCCTCCTGTGTTTGAATGAGGGGGAAGCAGAGGGTGGCCGGAAGCAGGGGGCGGGGCTTCCTGTGCCCCGCCCCCCGCACCTCACCCGGGGGGACAGCGTCCCCTCGCGTCCCCCCCCCGAAATGACCCCTGGTAGTTGTAATTTTTTCCAGCAATTGGCTTTTTAAGCAGTCCCAAAAATTGTCTGACAACAGCAATATATTTCCATCTATCAAGCAATCCCTCTCCTCAGTTGCAGACGAAAAAGCCATCTTGCTCCTAAGCAGACAGTTTGTAAACAACCACATTCACTGTGTAACTGCGCAGGCAAAGAAACTACAGACCGCCGCCATTTTCGCTCCACCAGCCTGTTTCCCTTTTCATAATTCCAACAAAGTTCTTTGAGAGTGAAATAGGTCTCTGTAGCGATATTTCCCAGATAGCAGATAGAAGATTTCAAAGTGTTATTCTGCCCCTATGAGTTTGTGCAATAACATTCCCAACACTCTGCCGTGCCGCTCACTGTGGGAGTCTTCCACCTCCCTTTGCCTCTGGGAAAGATAGGGGCAGTCAAGTGTCCTTTTCTGAGCTTGACGATTGTAAAAAGAAGACGAGACTACTCACAGAGTCTTCACCCAGATTATTGTGGCGAGGTATAGAGGCTCTTATTTGGGGTTTGTTGTAGCTTTCCAGCCGTGAACTCCCATGGCTGGTCCTTCGGAGCTTCTGCTCAAGACGAACTGAAACCTGCACCCGCTGTTGCCACAGATGGGGGCTCAGTTTAAGTCTTCTGCTTCCAGTTCCTACTCCCGAGGATCTGGTGGACCCTTGTCAAATCTGGAGGAGTCCAGAAATGTCTAGAAAGTCCCCTAAAAAGACTCCAAAAGCTGGTCAGACTCAGACCTGAGTATTCAACCACTCCGCCATTTCATTTTCAATCCCTTCAACCGTAGGTTGGTGGGATTATGGATAAAACGAAAACCGAGTAAATCAATAAAATGATAAATACCAAGATCATTTAAAAACGTATGCAAGAAATCTGGCAACAGCTTCCAGCCAGCCCACATCATTTGAGAACAACAGTTTCAGAATAATGTAATTACTAGAGCACTGAATGTCAGAGTTGACAAGAGATCCCGGTATATCACACCTAGCTTCAATAAACAAAGAACAGTGTAACAGCCCATGTGAGATGGTTGCTATTGCTCCAGACACGCAAGAACAATCTCTTTCAATCCAAGGAATTCGTCTATGTCTTCCTATGTATTCAGCTGTAGAAAGTGAATTACATCTTGCCAAAAGAATTAAACATCTGTGTTTGTGGTTTTTTAATAGTAATGGCTATATCCCTACAACTTCCTTTACAGTTGCTAATTATTTGATTATATTTTGTTATGGTTTGTGCCACTTGCATGTAGGAGTGGGACCTCCTGGTGCAGCTTGAGCTTTCTCTTTAGTTTTTGTTGTTGCACCACCCATAGTCCTCAAAACAAGCTGCTGTGTTTGCCTTCCACAAAGGGGAGTGAGGTGCCAAAAACTGGAGAGAGAACCCCAGTTAACATGAGGTGGCTTTCAACAAGACCCCTCAGCTTGGATCCAAAGTCTCATTCATGAACTAGGGTTTTCTAGGTTTCTTCTGCCAGTTGCAATGCCTTGTGCGGCATTAGAGGCTGTAAGTCCATAGATGAGGGTCTTGTTGAGGCAGTGGAGGCAGTAGCAAGGTTTAGGGTCCAGGTTATTGGACAGGTGCTTGGAATGATAGGAAAATGTCTAACAATCCTGACCATATTTGCTCAGAAGTAGCTTCCTTGGCTTTCAGTGGGAATTATTCCAACTTCTTTAAAAGTGTACTTGCACACTTTGGAATATCTGTATATTTTTCTTTTTTGGCCCCCCGAAGGGGAATTTTTTTTAATTTGCATTTTCTACAAATTACAACAGAAGTGGAGGGGATCTACAAACTATAGGAAGAAAGTAAAAATAACCTAACTAAAAACCCAAGTGTTGGAGGTTATGCAATGCTTATATAAATGCTAATTACTCTTAAACAATTACTTTGAAACATGAGGAGTATTCAATAATCATCGCTTCTATGTCAAAGTTAGCTTGTCTGGCTAAACAAAGAGTGATTCCATCGCTACAACATGTTTACAGATTTTAGAAAACAATGGTCACACATTTTACTCTTGCCCCTCTCCCTAGATATTTATGTTTTGGAGCCCAATCTCCCTCAGTGTAAAAAACAGTCGTTTATTTCTCCTTCTCTGTTATCATCCTTCTTATCTTCTTTCCCCTGTAGCTCGCATCGCTTTTGTAAGAACTAGCCATTCTGTTCGATAGACTGCTTTTTTCCCACCGTTCACTTGCAAACCTAAGATCATAAGAGTCCTTCCTTCTGTTGCTTTAAACACACGCTTATTGGAGAGACTAACTGTATCCTTTGCAGGCTGATTATATGCTCCGGGCAAGTCCACGTCCAGCCCTTCGCTCAAAAAAAAAGAAGAAAAAACACTTTTCAATCAGCCTGCCCGTTCAACAGTCTTAAAACATACTTTAGAATCTCCTTGTACAATCCAAAGAACCCTATGGTCGAAGAGGCACGATTTCTCCATTGGGAACGCTGTCCCTAAATTTATAGCCACATTAAAGAGCAGTTCCCATCCAGTATATCGTATAAGCCAGCAGGGAGCTGGGTCACATGGTCTAGCTAACCGCTCTCCCTCTTCCTGAAGTAGATTTGGGTCCTGCTTACGCCTGTGCCACATGTTGCCATCTTTGGGGGATGTTTACATTTACCCAAAATATGCCAAAGTCCTGAAGGTCTGTTAAAACGCTTGAAATTATTTGGAAAGCTCTCTGTTATAGTCCATTGCCTCTGTTGGCTCAGTCCCCCCCAGTCGTGTTTTCGCTTCATTCGATTGTTTGGGGGGTAGGTTGTTCCCTCCCCCTCCTGCTTGTGTTGGGGGGACCGCATCAAAGCTTTGATGTCTCGCTTCAGCTTTAACTTCAAGACGCTCCCAGAGGTCTCAAGATGGTCCCTGGGATCTCGCTGAGATGATTCGCTGCACCTCCGTATGCTTGTCCCGGTGTGCACTTTTAGTCCAATGCTGGGAATCAGCGGGAGGACATTTGAGGCAGGGAGTAGCCCCCCTTCACCAGCCAGTCACTGGGGGAAGGGCTCTCCAGGCGCCCCATGGCTAGGAGCCCAACTACAGGGGCTCCAGGGGGAGCGTGGACGATCGCGCCCCCTCTTATCCACTGATCCATGGCATGCGTCTCTCGAAGCTCCAAGCAGACATGGCCATCGTTGAAGCGCCGAAACCGGAAGTCTCCCTCTGTATATTTCTTTATAACGTGTTGAAGTTATGGGAAGTGTTTTCAGTCATCCCATCACAGGGCTTTAAGCGTTGCCTCCAGCAGGGACAGTGACTTTTTCTGTGTCATAAGTACTGTGGCATCAGCTTCTCTCAGCCATTTTGTGATACCTTGGGGGAGGTGTCCTCTATGTGGTCTATGTTAAGTCAAATGTAGCTGTTGAGATTCTGTGCCCCAGCAAGTCTGTGATGCTGCAGGGGATCCTGAGCTCCATCTTTTGGCCGGTGTATGGCAGGTGCCTTTTTTGGCCTTTTTTACTGAGTGCTGATGCAAAGAATCAAATGCGTGTTGGGCTGCTTTTTGGGCCAGCAATAGTTGCCAAGTTTCAGGTGCCACGTGACAACTTCTTTTTATTTATCCAGGCTAAAATTTGGTGGGACTCCCCACCCCCCACCCCAATGCTTATTCTAGCTTACTTCTGGTTTGTTGGTTTGGTAGCTGATTTTAGTTGTTCGGATTTTGCAGTAATCTATTTTATTATTTATATTGCATTTAAAAAAAATGCTTATAAAGCACCTTGAGTACGCTGTGCATTAGTTTGGGGAAAGGGTAAAAATATTTTATGTAGTTATAAGAGGGTGGGGGCCGTTCTTGAGCTGCAGATTTATAGCTGGTGACACTTCTGGTTGTGGGCTAATTGTTGTATAGTGTTCTAAAACAAATACCAAAAGATACGTCATGATCGCTTATACCCAGACTTAAAAAGGGAGAGTCCAGTGTTTTTTATACACTAGCTGTTGCCACTTTTTGTTAGATAGAACAGTTGGTTTTATACCCCGCCCTTATTGTTGCTTGTAGAGGGACCCATTGTAGTAAAGGTTTATTTGACTGTTAATGTACTTTTCCTTCTTTTTCAGCGGTTAATTACCTGAAGGAACTCGCCATTGCATTTTTCTTCACAGTTCTGAGTTGGCTCACCACCTTGCTTGGCATACTTATTGTGGCAGTGTTTATTTCACTCATAGGACGCTCTCTTTCTTGGTATACTCAGTTCTATGTGTCCATTTTTCTATATGGAACTGCAGCCTTGGCTAAATTGATTTTTGTACACTCTTGCATCAAGAAATTCCATTATAAAGTAGGTATTATATTTAATAGTTGGTAAAATTAATAATTGGGGAGGGAAGATGGCATGGTAGAGCACGATTTTGTCAAATCTTGGAAGTTAAGCAGGGTCAGTAGCTGGAAGGGAGACTTCCAAGGAAGAGTCTACAGAGGAAGGCAATGGGGCAAACCACCTCTGCTTCTCACTTGCCGAAGAAGCAGAAGCAGAGATTGGATTTATACCCCGTCCTTCACTCGGAGTCTCAGAGCAGCTTACCCTTCCCCTCCCCACAACAGACACCCCGTGAGGTAGGTGGGGCTGAGAGAGCTCTGAGAGAACTGCTCTTTTAAGAACAGCTCTGGCAGAACTATGGCTTGCTCAAGGTCATCCAGCAGCTGCAAGTGGAGGACTGGGGAATCAAACCCAGTTCTCCCAGATTAGAGTCCACACACTTAACCACTACACCAAGCTGGCCTCTTGCTGGGGTTATCATAAGTTGGCTGCGACTTGACAGCGCTTTTCACACACAGAATTAATAATGACTGTGTGTTTCCTTCTCTGATTGTTTAGTGACATGAAATTCAGAGCTGAATGTCAGTGATTATCATCTAGTTTGTGTGCTACTTTAGGGAAGAGTGAGGATCCAAGTCCCATTTCTTCCCATCCCCTCATTTGTAGATTTCATCATCTCCATTGGTTGGTTCCCCAGAGCACCAATTCATGGTTTGATGTGAACGATCCTTGAAGGAGTTTCAGGTAGCTTTCACAATCCCTCCTCCCTTTTGTTTTTGTTTTTTAAATTAAAAATCGTATGTATTAATTTTAATTTAATGTACAATACAGCGTAATACAGTGCATCCATCTAAAAAAATGTCATCTAAATGGAAAAAGTTGAAACCTACAAGGTTATCCACTTCAGATAAAGAGGGTTAGAGGGGAGAATATCTAGAATCTGTAAATAGGAGACTACAGGGAACCAAGTTGACACAAATGTGGCGTGGTGTGGGGTATCTGATTGTGAACACCTGAGCGAATCAGCAATTTTTGCCATGACAAGGTGTTTCCATAGCTTGTCCTGCCAGTCTGTCACTGATGGTGCTGCTGGAGATTTCCAGTTTGCGGCAATGGCCAGGCAATTGCTAAGAGAGTTGATGCGAGTTCTTTTTTATGATCTTGAATAGAACCATCCCAGTGGTTTAACAGAAAGAATTCAGGCGAGAGAGAGATATTTTGAGTTGTGATATTCTCAATGTTGTTTTTGATGAGCTACTTACACAACAGTCTTAAACAGAGTTACACCCTAACCCTAAACCCATTGTTTTAGCAGGGTGTAACTTCTTAGGACTGCACCATTAGTTACTTTTCATCCAAACCGGTGGTCTGTGGTTTGTTCTTTCCCTGCAGACTTTTCCTACTGCTATGTAATGAACTAATAAGTTCACGGCATGGAGGGTGGAGAAGAGGGATCTTGAACTGAGCCTGACGCTCCTTCAGGGCTATAATCTAAAAGTCAGATATGTCCATGGAGTCCAAACTGTGCTGCCTGTTCAGGGGACCAGGGTGGGGAGGGTGGTGGTTGGTGGGATACGTGAAACTGCAAGACAGGGCAATGTGCATGTGTTTTGCATTCCAAGGAGGGTATGTATCTCTGTGGTAAGTGAAAACCCCTAATTAAATATTTATGTGAAAAATAATATAATAACATTATGAGATAGTTTAGGCACTCAACTGCAATCATGGTGGAGGGAGGTAGTCTTAGGGCTATTTTTGGGCAGGAACGCACAGGAACGGAGTTCCGGCTGGCTCCCAAGTTGGCCACACCCAGCAGGAGCTCATTAGCATAATAGGCCACACCAAACAGCAGAAACTCATTAGGATTGGCTATATTAGGGGTGTGTGGCCTAACATGCAAAGGAGTTCTTGCTACAAAAAAGCCTTGGGTTTTGACAACAAACAAGGTAAACAGAATAACAAGCAAAAGGTGGGTGTGGCTGGATAACCACACTTCTGGTAACATGGGGGTGCATCCTAATGTGCTAATGAGCTGTGCTGGCGGGGTGTGGCCTATTATGCTAATGAGTTTCTGGTGTTGGGTGTGGCCTATTATGCTAATGAGTTCCTGCCGGTCTTTTTCTACAAAAAGAGTCCTGGAGACAAGCCGGTTTATCTATACCACATTAATAAAGGAAAGATGCCATGGGGCAGGATTCTCCTGATAGATGAGCATTGTCTGAAAGGTTCTTGTACTCTTCTTAATTTACTGTATCATGAGAAAATGGCTACAGACTTCTTTTACAATGCTTGAAACACTGACTACTAAAAGTAAGAAAGAGGCTGTATGCTTATACTGTACTTTTTTTTTCTTTTTCCAGAATACAAATGAACAGTTCCTTGGAGAGGTTTTCTTTGATGTTTCACTGGTTTTTTGGTCAGTTATGTTGGCCTTGTTTACATACCTAGGATTTTGTTCAGCATTTGTCAGTGCAATTTGGGTAGCATTTCCTCTTCTCACAAAATTAATGACTTATAAAGAGTTCAAAGAAAAAGGTAATAAGTGCACATTTTAATAATATATAATTACAGTAACCTGAGAACAGATGCAGCTAATTGGCTTGATTGGAACAGAGTATATTTTATGCTCCTGGAAGGGCGGGAAGGAATAGATTATTTTTCTTCTATGGCATCCTATGAGTGTGTGAAAAAAGCCGTATAAGATAGCCTGCCCTGGGCCCATGACAATACAGAAGGGGAATTCATATCCCTGAATTCACACTTTGGGGTGTCACTTTATAGGCAGGGCTCTATAGGTGGGCTGCTGGAAATAATATTGTGTGTGGGGAGGGAGTACAAGATAATTTTGTGGAACACATTGAACCCTGTAAAGCACTAAATGAATGCTAAGCATTATTTGTAAGGCAGTAATTCTAGGGCAAATGTTTATGATTAGGGAATAAAAAAGTACTTTTGTTATTCGGGGAATTATTTCCTTTGGAAACCTGAAACAATTTAACTTTGAATGGCAAATCCACTCTTAAGGACTGTTGGACCTTTGGGAACGGTGTAGGACATGAAGGGCTGGAATCACTGGAGGTGGCTTCTGCCTCTCGCACCTGTAGAAGTCAGCCTCTGCTCGCGGAAGGGAGGGTTTGGTATGGGAAAAGCAGTGCAATGTGTTGATCGTATAAATAAATAATGGGGAGAGGAGCCATGATTCAGTGGTAGAACATCTGCCTGACATGCAGAAGGTCCCAGGTTTAATTCCTAGAACCTTCTAGTAAGATCAAGTAGGAGATGATGTGAAAGACCTCAGCCTGGGAGCTGCTGGTAGACCGATTAGTTCATAGTGAACTTGGTGGACCAATGGTCTGATTCAGCATAAGGCAGCTTCATGTGTTCTTGTGAGCAGTAGCTATCTCTGGTATCCTTCTTACTCACACAGAGGGCAGTTAGATCCCACCTATGTATTTTTATTACACAAAAACAAGCACATTGTCTTTGTGTGTACCCCCCCCACACACACACAAAAAAAAGAAACATGGGGTGGGGGAGCTCTCCAAAAGTTACCAGCATTACAGCTGTGCTGTTCCATAGCTAGATGCGAGAGTATTCCTGTGTAAGTGTATAGAGTCAAGGTGCCATTAAGCCATATGGACAGACATGGTGCTGACAGTTCTCCACGAATTCATTTCTTTTATGAATAACTTTAAAAGTTTGTCAATGCATGACCATCATCACTCAAAAAGATCAAACACTATAGACCAAACTTTGATGTTACCTCAATCTGAATGCTTTCAAATGGAGGCAGTTGAAAGCAAGAACTAAATGACTGCAAGTGCATGTGCCAGTTGTTTCTACATTTGTGTTATAGTATAATAATCCACATGTTTTCTACCCAATTTGGCTCTCTTAGCCTTCCCCTTCTAGACCTTCATTCCAAAGACCTGCTGCCAGTGGGTCCCATGAATGTTTCTGCAGAGCTTTTTGCTGCACTACCGCTTTGTGTTGCCAACTCCTGTTTGCCTCAGCTGTCAGTTAAATTGTACTATTCAGAGTGGACCAGCATGGAATTCCACCTTTCTTCCCTTCTTCACAAGATTAATGCTGGGCTCCCCTTGCTATCTCTGTTCTTAAGACTATACTCTTCAGATATGACCTCCTGTTCCATCCCTTTTCTGTATATTCAGGGAACTGTTCCTGCAGCTTTGAACAAATAGCTTTTTAAAAAAGTACAAAATGATGCTAGTAGAATTATGACAATCAGTCTATAAGAAAATCTTATATATATAAAGATTTTCTCCTCTTATATAAAGATATATATAGTCTCCCCTTATATAAAGCCGTAGTGGGGTCCAACGTTCCAATGCACACCTATAGTGTTTGGCCGCAAGAACTGTCAGTCAGAAGATGCTGGCTGGGTTGGCTGGCTGCTTTGTGTAGTCCTGCCCACGTCAGCCACGGCCAGCATGTTTGGCTCAGTCTGTTCTGGGCCTCTGACAGGAGAGGACCATCTGCAGACTGAGCGCAGGGACGGGGCTTCTACGGCTGGGACTACACAAAGTCTTCTCTGATTGGGCCAGTGTTTCAAGGTCATTTGCATATGGAAGCTGATTGGACTTCACTCCATTCCGCACCTCAAACTCCCCCCCCGGCAAGACAGTTGGAACTGTCAGTTGCATATGGGACCTGGTGTATTCTGAGGTAAAATATGTCCTCACTTCCTCTTCAAAAGAAACAAACCCAATAACACAATCATGCCACACCACAAAAAAGACAGATCACACCACAAGTAGAATACTACAAGGCAAAAAATGATAGGAAAAGGTGCCAGCAGTCACCCATTACTGCCACAGATATGTACCTCAGAGCGCTTCAGAGGATGGTGTGCAAGTCCCAGGTTCATGTTTTAAAAGCTGCCTGGGGGATTATGGACCATTCACACACTTTCAACCTTAACATACCTCATAGGGTAGTTGTGCGGATCATACGGGGGAGAGGAGAATGATGTTAGCTGCTTTGGTTCCCACTGCAGAGAAAACTGCCCTTTCCCTAGGCAGAGGCTGGGGGGGGGGGAGATGTACACCTGAAGACAGACAGGCAGATAAAGGTAGGCTGATGGTTGCCTGGAAAGGACATAGGGTTGCCAACTCTAGGTTGGAAACTTCCAGGATATTTTAGGGATGAAGCCTGCTGAGGGTGGGGTCTGAGGAGGAGGAAGAGGGGGACCTCAGATAGATACAATGCCATAGACCCCACCCTCCAAACAAGCTGTTGCCAATCTCCAGGTGACAGCTGGAGAGCTCTTAAAGCTCTGGTGCTAATTCAAAGTGCTGGGGATGTGTTCAAGGCTCCCTCTAAGCTGTGGAGTCCTGTGAGCAAAAATTCTACTTGGTGAGCTCCTGGCATTAAAGTTGTGAGCGAGCGATTTGGCTGCTGCATGAATTAGTTTGCTCTGAAGCCCTGCTTCCTGAGCTAAGACAAAAATCTGTTAGCCTTCGATAACATTAACTGGGACTTCTTAAAAGGTAAATTAGAAGAATGGAAATGTGGAGGAATTTTCATGAGGATGATAGCTGCTATATATAAAGAACAGTGAGCAAAAATAAATATTAATGGAGAACTAACACAAAATATACCTATACAGAAGGGAACAAGACAAGGGTGCCCGCTCTCGCCATTATTATTTATTTTTGGACTAGAAACTTTAAATTATATAGTGAGAAACAATGTAAACATACGAGGGCTTAAAGTTAAAGGTGAGCAATTTAAACTGCAAGCCTTCGCTGACAATGTGGTATTTATTCTAGAAGAACCAATAGCCTCAATAATACACCTGATGAAGCAAATACAAGAATATGGCCTTTTAGCAGGGCTTAAAATTAATCTCAAGAAAACTAAGATCTTAACAAAAAACTGTACCAAGGAAGAAATCATTAAGATACAAATAGCTACAAATATTGAGGTGACAAATAAAGTGAAATACCTAGGTATTATAATTACAAATAAGAATGTACAATTATATGAGAGCAATTACAAAGCCGTATCAGATTTCTGTTGTTCGCTGTTTTTCTCCATTGCCTTCCCTTTTGCTGCTCCATTTCTTTGCTTGGTCAGGGTTTGATGTTGTTTAAGAAAGAGATCTGCTTTTAATAAAGAGAATCTTTTCCTTCTTCTTGTTGAAGTTGAATATAAGTCCTTCTGGAAAAATCCATCTGTACTGGACATTGTTCTTTTGAAGAAATGCTGTAATATTTCTATATTGCTTCCTTTTCTTGAGTATTTCGTATTTTTATCTCCTCTTCTTGAATTTTGATTGTTGTAGCTGTGGATGCTTTAAGTATTAAGTCTCTTGTTGATCTAATTGCAAATTTCACAAAACTTTCCCCTGGGAGATTTTTTCTTTTTCTTTTTTTACAAACTCTGAATCAATCCTGTAAGTCATATGAATGTCTGCTTGTATTAATTCAGGTTTGTTATTAACCAAGGGGGCCATTGCTTCGCTTAATATTTCTCTTAAGTTCTCATCCTTTTTCTCTGGCACCCCTTGAAATCTCAGAACATAGAAAGATCTTTCCACTTGTAGCTGTAATAGTTGTTGCTTTTCAGAAGCTCTTTCTTTTTCTACAATGTCCATTCTTTGATCTATTTCTTTGATCTTAATTTCAACCTTTTTTAACTTTTTGGTTTGACTTCTCTGATTTGGCTGTAGTTTCCTTGAGCTCTTTCTGTAGAGTATCGAATTTCTGATTGAGGTTCATCAGTTGGTCCAGCAGAGAGCACATGGCCTCGGAAATTGCAGTGGCTAACTTGCTGGTATTTTCCGGTCTTGTGACTGGTGATGCTGTGCTGGTATTTCCTGCAGAACCTCTGCCTCTGGATGCCATTTCCCCCCCTCGCTGAGACATTGTTTATACTTTGGTAAAAGTTCATAAACGTTCTAAGATCTTTTCTATGCTGTAAATTGTTAGCCCAGATGTATCCACTCTGAATAGGGTGGTTAATAGCTTAAGCCCGGCATGCTTCTTTACGCTGAAGTTTCGCTACTGGGTAGGGTTCTTCCTCCACGAGTCCCCCCCCCTTCTCTTTGGCGCTATGCCGTTTTGCTATGCCAGTATTTATTCCTCCACCCTTTTTGTATATGTCTTTCTTTTTAAAACTTAACTCACTGTTTCTTTAGTCGCTGAATTGCTTTGTCACGTAGATTAATCTTTTTAGTTAAGTCCTTGTACACTCTCGTCAAGTAACGTCTCTGAGCGCCATTGCTGGCCTGGGGACAGCGGGACCTTTCGGAGCAAAAAGGAGCTCACTTCCCCCAAGCCGAAACTTTGGGAGCAGTCCCTTCGGCGCTCCAGGCTAGAAGCTCCCCTTCAAGAGCTTCATGGGGAGGTCGGGACCAGCCGATCCCCCTTCCTGCCGCCCCAATCCGACTCGCCCCCATCGGAGCTCGATGGGGTGCAACCGTCGCAAGTCTCATTCTATAAGAAAATATTGTCTACCTGGTTTTGCAAGTATGTGTTGTAGAGTTGTGAGTTCTCAGAAGCATATGTGGATAACCTCATCTTTGCAAATTTGTTCCATTGTCTATGTTACAGTGAGAGAGAGAGAAAAAGTGATTCCCAGCAATGAAAGAGAAAAAGTGATTCCCAGAAGTCTAGAACAGATTGCATTGTTGTTGTTTTTCTTGTCTTGTAGGTGCCACAATGAAGTTTCTTCTGATTTACCTCCTGGGAATGTTTGTTCCATGCCTCTATGTAATGTACCTCAGCTGGATTACGTATGAAATGGTCATTCCCATCATGGGACGGAGTGGTTCAGAAATTCCACCTGATATATTAGTGGCTGCTTCTGTTGTTGTGTCGTCTATATTACTTTCTTCTTACTTTGTAAGGATGCTTTAAAAATTACACATCTAATTTAATAGTTCTTGAGCTGTTTGTGTTATGCCTTCAAAAAAATTTGTGGTCTAAGAAAATAGTATCATGGGACTCATTCTTTGGTTTCTCTGATGCAGTAACCATAGATGTGAACTGAGACTATCCTCCCATTGTCTGCTTTCTTGTATCTTATTAAAACATACTGTATGTGGCCTGAGAGCTTTCATTTCCGCAGGCTTAATTTCTGGTAGTTAATCACTGGCTTTCATGTAGAAATGTCTTCTTTTTGATAATGGAGATAGGTCTCACTCTGGACAGAATCATTAACTAGCCCACAAAACAATGTTACCAGGTGGCTCATTCATCTATGGAATGTACTCAGTCCTGGCCTAATTAAGGCTGGACATGAAAGAGATTAATTCAAAATACATTACAGACCATGAGCTTTTCTTGATGGCTGTGGGCAAAGATATTATTCTTGGCCTGGCTTACCTAATAAAATTGTGCAGATAAGAATAAAACCCCAGGGATACACTGATAAACTGAGGTATTTTTTTAAAAGATGGTCTGTGGGTGTAACAAATGTATTCTAGACATCTGCAGCTGTACTTTGTCAAAAAATGTAACCTGATCTTTGTGGTTTTGTTTTATTTTTGATTTCTAGCTTAATTTCATCTACCTTGCTAGAAGCACGAAGAAGACAGTATTAACGTTAACCATAGTTTTTGCAGTTGCTTTCATCCTTGTCTGCAGTGGTGTCTTCTTCCCTTACAGTTCAGATTTGACAAACCCAAAGCCTAAGCGAATCTTTCTTCAGGTAAAAAGCGCTTTTTATCATCCAGAGGTGGGGCCATGGAGATATTACATAATAATTGTTGGCAGCGATTTGGCTTTCAGATACAGCAGAATATTTAATAAGAGCGTAATTACAGTCCAGCTCCTTGGAATGGTTTTTGTTTTGCATCAGTCCTTCTTTCCAGAGATACATATGCTGAATCGTTGATCTTTGTATCCCACAGACTTTGGGCTGTGTTGTTACAGCACCCAGGGGTCATTTCGTAGAAAAAGAGCTAGGGGAACTCATTAGCATAACTCATTAGCATATGCCACACCCACTGACATCAGGGGCCCAGCGGTGGACCTGCAAGGCTGGCAGGAGTGCGAGGAAGCCCCGCCAAGGCCCTTCCTGGCCCTAGGCAGGCAGGGGTGGGGAGAGGCGGGGAGGAAGCAGTTTACCCTCCCTCTTCTCCTGCCTCCTCCTGGCTGAATGAGGGCTGGAAGCAGGGCGGCCGGAAGCAGGGGGCGGGGCTTCATCATGTGCCCCGCCCCCTCGCACCTCACCCGGGGGAACTGCGATCCCCCGCGTTCCCCCCCGAAATGACCTCTGTCAGCACCTATTTCACACTTCTGTTATAGCTGAAGCATGTGAAATGGGAATATGATAAGTGACCCAGGCAAAACAGGGAGTGACATCCTTGCACTACTCCTTTTTGTGACTGTTCCCGATTCTGCCTGTGCCATTCCAAATTCTGCCCTAATGATGCATTACAGTGCAGATTGTGTAACTCAGATGTTTACTAGAATTGGGACACACCTACCTCCACCAACCCTGTTTGTGGATGCTGAGGATTCTTGTGGCATTGTTTACAGAACACACTGTTTGCAATATGTTGTGTTCTCTTGCTTTAATATCAGGGAACTTGTTTGTGGCCATTGGAGTACCAGAAAAAAAGGCAGGGAAAGGGCAGTGATAATATTGCAGTGTGCATGGCTTGCCCAGACCGTAGTGCTTACTTGCTTGTTATATTTATGATCTGGGTTTACCTCTGCTTTCATTCAAATGGCAGTAGTTTGTATTTAGAAACCAGCTCTAGCAATTTCATCTGGGAATGTGGTGGAATTTTCTTCTTGCTAGATTAGGCAGGTAGTAACTGGGAATTTATTTGCTCCTTAAAGCCTATTGCTCTATTTCCATGTCCACCAGAATTTATTTATTAGATACTTTGCTTTTCATGACGCCTAATATATCACAGTTGTTCTGAGGAACATATGTCCATTAAGTCATAGTTAAGTCCTATAGGTTCTGAAATAGATTCAGGTCGGTAGCCATGTTGGTCTGAAGCAGTAGAACAAAGTACGAGTCCAGTGGGGCATCTTTAAGACCAACAAAGTTTTATTCAAAGTATAAGCTTTTGTGTGCATGCACACTTCTGCAGGTACATTGAAATGGAAGTTACCAGTCCGTACATTATGGGTAGAGGGTGAGCAGCAAATTAACATACAACATAATGAAGGTGTTTGACAGATTCAAGGACCAAACAGGGATAACAAGCTTAGTTTATATGGTTACCATTTGTTTCGGTTTAATTTGGGGGGGGGACACATGGTGAAGGAAATAAATGTATCAAAATTGGAGATTGATGGGCAGATGTATCCTTCTTAATTGTGGAATGCTCTGAGTAATTGAGACCCTGCCATTATGCTCCATCTGTCTCCTCTCAAGTGTAGAGGTGATCTTACAGCAACCTCTTATTTGAGGTTTGTAGTCTACATTCCATTCTACCATTCCAAACTACATTACAATCTACTATATTAGTTCTCACTATATTAAATCTTCCAGCATCTTTCCAGAAGGCCCTTCACATAGTTGAGAGATAACAATATTCAGTAATCACCTTTAACACAGGTTGTTTTTTTTACATCACGCAAGTGTGAGTATTAGTCTTCCCTTGTGGATAGAAATATCACCTCTACTTTGAGAAGCCATTTCCTGATTAGTAGTTGACACTAGTTCCATGATCTTGGTGTTACTGCTGAATACAGTCCTCAAGACACTTTCCTGGGAGTAAGTCCCATTAAATAACATGGGACCTACCGACTTACCTGCTTAGCTTGCAAAATTTCCCCACTATCTGATAATTTATTGTCACTTTTCCAGCACTTGAGCAGAAGATTTCATGATCTGAATGGCCACTTGACAAAAAGCGACTCAGGAATATGGATTAATGGGCTCGACTATAGCGGAATGTCTCATGTCACTCCTCATATTCCTGAACTCAATGACACTATTAGAACAAAATGTGAGGAAGAGTCACCTTTCTGTGGGTTACCTTGGATCCTTCCTGTGAACCATCTTTTTAGGTTGGTAGCAAGAGTTATTTGAAACTCAATAGGTCAAATGATGAAAGACTGTTAAAATCAGCTAATCACTTATAAACAAAGCTGTTTAGTAGCTAATTTAAATATATAGCAACGCCTTAATAAAATACATTCTGAGGAACCTGAAGTAAGGGGGAAAAGGGAGAGCCTGCTGTTTTAAAATAGTTAACTACTTATAATTGCTTTTAACAATTGGACAGCAGTCAATGAAAAATGGCCACTGTTGATCCACAACTTCATTCTTTTTGGACATTGTCACTTGTATATAGGTAAACAGTGTCCCCCAAATACAGTCACGGTTTTCTTTTTATAAGCAGAAAATAACCTGGAACAGAAAGTAAACCTTCATCTACTTATTGCTTCATTTTTTTAGTGAGTTGGCCAAATAGCCAAACATTTACTTTAACATCCATTTTGGAAATACAGAATATTTACTGTTGTGCAAGTTTATGGCAGATGAAATGGTTTATAAATAATTTAAGGTCATCAGTACTGTACAATGTTAAAAAATGTACAGATTATTTATTTACACTCTCATCTTAAACTGCTTTTAAGTGTCTGTCAGGAAAAAGTAAAAAATGATTGTGGTGTCAATTTTAATCTGTGATGAAAGCTTTCATTAATTGATACTGATTAAAACTTACAGCCTTCACTTACAGTTAAAATATGCCAGTACCATTTGTCATTCATATGCTTGCTTTGTTATAGTTAGTTCTGTGGTGTTGTTGTTATATGAAAAGGGTAGTGGTGGCTACTGGCTAGTCATGTGAATTTCCTTTGTGTGTTTCTTGCTGAATCTAAGGCCAAACTTGGCTTGGCATTACACTAGTGAGTCTCAAGCTCTTGAGCTGCTTTCTTGCTCTGAGGGAGACGGCATCTTGTCATGTGATTCCCATCTGTCAATCAAGAAGGCAGGACCAAATCTTCAACATTCTGTCTCCAGGGTGAGAGGACCCATTGATTCAGTTAATTTCCTGCCTTTGTGGGAACTGTGAGAGATGGGCTCCTACAAGCTTCAGCCTATTTCTTCTCACCTTCATTATTGCTTAATTGCCTTCCTTTCCCCTGTATCTCTGATCATGTCCCCTTTTTTCTGCTGTCACCTCCCTCCCCCTCTCTTCTGAGGATTGGCATGGCTGAGGTAATGGCAGAACAAGAGGACTTCAACAAAGCCTTGGACAGCTTTCACTCCACAAAGGGTGGAGCCCTCCTACTTCAAACCGGGAGGCAGGGACTTTTCTCCTGCAGTGCTAGGCTAGTCAAGCCCTGCAAAGGCACACACAGCTGCTGAGAGCCAGAAGTCTGGACTGGCACAGTGCAGCGATGAATGGGAGGACACCATTTTGGTGGCAGTGCATTTTGGCAGGATGCCTCCAAACATTGTTAAAGATGGTGGATACTTGGATTTGGCCACCAGAGCAACAGGAAAAAGATGGTGGGAGGTAGTCATGAGTCTCTGAAATAGGGGTGGGACTCAGGCCAAAGGTCTTGGCCCACAAAGGCAGCACACAAACCAACCCCACC